GACTGTATACCTTAAGTTGCAAAGTACGATGTTTACACCGAAAATAAATTCATGTAGTTACAAGTGTTGTTCTCGAATTACAATGCTTCGAGTGGATATTACACATCTGGTAAGATATATATATAGGAGCTATATTCCTCCGTGGGCTTCACAAAATAAAGGGTGTCCCAATTAGAACGCAAATTTTAAATAAAACACGGATATTAAAAAATGTCGTGAAACGTTGTTATATCGTATATGTATGATATAAGACATCGAGCAGATGGCCGCTGCGGATTTGCTGACACATATACGATCTTTTGATGAAATGCCAATGACAGTTTTTATTAAATGCTGCGGCATTCCATTAATAGCAGTTTCTCTTTAAAGGCTTTACTCGTCGTCGGCTTATTTGCGTAAAAAATCAACTTCAAAAGATCCAAAGGAAAAAAAATAAAGATGTTAAATCACACGATCTAGGTGTCCAATTCTGGTCTCCAAACCGCGCAATAACACGTCTATTAAACAACTGATGCAGCAATTGAATTGTGTCTCTGGTTGTACGTTTAACCAAAAGCCCTCCACATTCATTTCTTTAATTATAGACTAGAAAAACATAATTGACGATTTGTGCTTGCTTACTCAAGGATTTTCCTCACCCCAAATTCGACAATTCTCCAATAGCCAATTAACGAACTCCCTTCGCTGTCCATGGTGAGCTGGCTTCAGTTCTTGTGTCAACTGAACATTGTATGCATGAAGATTCAAATCTTTTGTCAAAATTCTATGCATTGTGGTTTTAGAGAGACCAATTTGATATTTCTGTGATATTCAGATACCGCTGCTTTAATTTTGTAAGTTTTAAGTGGAGGTAGGGTTTATGAGAGTTTTGGTTCCAGTAGTGGAATTACCGACCAATCATTTTGACGTTTTTAATTATTTTTTAAGCAGACCAATTATGTGTCCCAACGGAATTCGGCCATTCTATTCTAAGGGTATCCCATTTGCAAGTATAGTCTTATAAGGTATCACAACTTGTTTTTATACCCTCCACCATTCTATGGTGGAGGGTAATGTGCGGGATCAACGTAAATTTCCAAGTCGATTTAGAGATGTCCGTCTGTCGTATGCCTTTCTGTCTGTATGCCTGTTGTAATCACGCTATCTTTTGAACGAATAGAGATAGAGGAATAAAATACACACATGTGCAGTTTAAGTTCATGGATGGACCATTCGTCGAGCCCTCATATAATGGCACTCCCCTATATTTTATATTATGATAACATTAGCGGTATTATTCAATGGAGTCGTTTAAAATTTCGGATTCACAGGTTGGAGTACCACAACCTTTAAAGAAATTACTTATGCAGATCC